CAGCCAGGAGAGCAAAAATGACAACCCCACCTCACAGTCATCGCAGTAGAAGTGTTAGAGGCTAGCGAAAGGCTCGAGAAGCCACTCGAGGACACCTCGGTCGCTTGCTCACACGATCCGGTCCTAGTCTTCTGCCTTGACGAGTCCTCAATTGGTCAGACGTGAAATTGGCCCTCCTCATCCTCCTCCTCCTCTGTCGCCATCAGACATTCCGTTTTGTTGATTCTTTTGTTTCTTTGGGAGTCGTTTTCCAACACCATCCGTTTCTGTGTCTCGATCAGTCTTAGCGATCAGGCTGTGGGTTATTGTTCCAACCTCGGGTCTCTCTGTGCGTGCTGTGCTTTGACACGCATGGCCGTTTCTGTTGTGCTCACTTGACAGGAAAGGATCACTTTTTATCTAACCGTTTAGTGATATGACCATTTGTGTGCACCTCAGATTCAAACCCAACGCTCCATTTTTAAAAACTCAATTATTTGTTTTGTAGGACCTGGTTGGAACAAAAACCTGTACAGTTCCAGAGCTTGAGGACCGGAGTTGAGAACCACTACGTAAAGTCCTTTAAGTAAAACTAAATAAAGTGTAAAGCATCGAGGTTCTTGAGTTTGGTCGTGCCCGAGATGGTCACTGAGAGCTTGCCTGACCATTACACCAGACTCAAAAGAAGTGTTTGATAATTTTTTTTTATTATTATTGTTTGCATTCTTTTTAGTTTCTTGTTCTTTTTTATTTTTTTTTATTTTTTAATAACGATTTCTAAAGAGAAAAAATAAGCAAGCAAACAAAAAAACTCTAAATATCCTTTGCACTCTTGTCACTGTATTTTGGATCTATTTTTAAAAAATGATTGATGAATTTTGTTCTTATTAAAACAAAAAAAAATTGATAATCTTTAACTGGAAAATGCTGTCAATCTCAATGTAAAATAACACATTTTGTATTGTTACTGTTATCAATATTATTGTAAGTAGATGCTACTTTGCTCTAAGCTTTACACCTATCTGTCTTTCAGTTTCTGTTTTAATCGTCTTTGAAAATGAGATTACATGATCATAGCATGTATGTCTGGGAACTGCATGTGTCAGACATTAGCTATTGCAGCTGTAACAGTCTCATTGTTTGCGGGATCTAAATCCAACACTGTTAGTACAACGGCTGGTGGCACATTTTGTCCTGGGACCGTAGCTATGAACATTTTGTTTCTTGGAGGTTTTTAGCCAATTGAAAAGAACAGACCAAGCTCAGTACCTGACATTCACATGGAATAGGTTGCTTTAAAAGTCTAGTGAAAACATCAAATTAGTATGCCAGCCATTGTTTTCTTTTACCCGATGCTACAGACCAAGGAGCAAGATCCTTTAATTTGACACATTTATATAACGATTTTGTTTTATCATAATTTTGTTTGTGTATTTGTGATTGTATATTTAAGATTGTAGCCAAGTTCTGTATAAGTGTAATTCTATTTACTCTTCTCTAGGAACCCTGTGCCCTTCACCCCTTCATATGTCAAAAGTAAAACCAAACCTTTCATTTTAGATTGTTTCTAGATGCATTAAAGGTACAACTACCTTTCACCTGAGAAGGTAGATTATAGTTTTTAAGTCAATGTACAATGTATTTATTTTTTTTAAGTCTTTGCCATTGCATTATATATCGAGACGATATATGTTGCTATGTATTTGATGTTGCCTCTGTGCATTATTTTACTTTTTATGTTTTTTTTTTTCATTAACCTAAGATGATATATAAATCCTTGAATGACTCCATAAGAGTTCTTATGTTACATGATTTACATGATCCAGATCAATAATTCCAAGAAGCCCCTTTGAGGTTACTGTGTCTTGGGTTTTAAAAACACCAGAGGGCACTCCACTGTAAGGCTTCCACTGATTTATAAAAATGGTCAAAGATTAAACTGTAGTTAAATGTAACCATCATAAGGCATACAAATACAAAATAATTTTTCTTGAATACATCACTTGTGAAATACAGTGTTTCAGGTTAATTTCACAAATTTGCCATAAAGCAGGTATGCTCTTTGCTTTGTTTTCAGAGCCCCTTTGTCGATGTTTTACAGATATATTTTTGCTTCATGTCTGCCATTGACAATTGATATAGAACCAATAAAACACATTTTCACAAGCTATCATACCTGGTATATGGTTAAAATACGCATATCCACAGTACATTAAAAATTATGAGAGGCTTCCTGAACACTGGGTTTCTGATAAGAAATGTGAACAACAACTCTAATAGTCTATAGAGTGTTATTGACACTTCATATTTCCAGGTAGATCCTCTGCAAACAGCTCCAGATCTAGAAGTGTTTTTGTTGTACTTTAAGGTTAGAGCAGTGTTTGCTAACCTGGTTGTTTATATGTGATAGTAGCAATCGGAGGCAGGCCACCAGGAAGCATGTCCTACCTTTTAACAGAACTCTTAAATTGTTAGGGCAGTTAACAGGAACAATAAGGAAACTATTAAAAATGTCTCATGACAAATGTTTTTGATCTTTGAATAAGTTCAAGCATTTGGAATGCTTAGCAATATAATTCGTTTTAAATCCAACTTCTAGTTTTATTAAGATTCCACATGTGCATATGGTTATTTATCTGCTGTTAAATGTTTTTGGGCAAAAGAAGTGACGCTCCCTTTTTTGTTCATGTCTAAATAGGGCTGCATGATTAATCGAATGTGATTGTCATGGGCATTTTGATAGTAATGCTGGTTCTGTAATCAGCAGAAAATCATCATCCCGTGCTTTCAGATAGAGCAGAAATTACTATACATAGCTGTAGTTCACTGACAAGTTACGCAAGAAAAATCGCAGACGATTTTATTGCGCAATTCTGAAATCGAAGAAATCGTTCGCGATAATGACAGCTGGTTGCATAGCTTCTCAGTGAACTACGGCTCTGTGAAGTAAATGCTGCTCCATCTGAAAGCATGTGAAAATACCACATTTAATAACATATTTTTACTCCAAACTCAGTTCATAATGTCAGTCGTAATCTCATCCTTCTGTGAGATGATGTGGCTTCTTACACAGAATAAGGCACGCAACATATTTCATAGTATTTAAGCAGTGATAAAGGCATTGCATTATAAATATACTTTATTTTAATGAAAATTATAATAAGAACTCAGATAAACCGTATATTGCCGTAGTCGTTTGTTTATTAGTTACGTTAAATCAATGAAAGCAGTTGAATCTTTTGTTTATTCAGCTGCAGTGATAGGCATTTCCTGGGTTTCTTCTGTGGGGTGTATTTGGAGTTTCAGCGCGAGAGTGCCCTTTGGCCTTTGGATGGAGATTTACTGCTGATCACAGAACCGTGCTTCACTGAAAGATACGCATGACAATCGCAGCTTCTGTCGAATCGCTCGATTCCATTTCGATTTATCGTGCAGCCCTAATTAAGATATTAATAAATGCAATTCTTAGCAAAAAAAATACTTTAATGCACCCACTAATCATGTTTTCAATTAATAAATTAAAAGTCATTGGATATTCTTAAAAGAATAATTCACCTAAAAATGAAAGTTCTGTCATAATTTACTTATTCTCTTTGTCGTTCCAAACCTTTCTTCTGCGAAACATAAAAGCTATGGGATTTCTTCCTTCCTTCCTTTCTTTTTTTCTTTCTTTTTTTAATAGAAATGTAGGCCTGTAATTGAATCCATGAAATATAAGGTGTTATGTTTTTTAAAGAAGTTTCTTTAGTATTCATCTTTTTTTGTCATTTGGGACATTATTATTATTATTTTGTCATTGTCATTTTTTGTAATTGACCAAATGTTTGTTGTCAATAATAGTAATTTTATAGATACAATTTTGTCTTTGATAACTCTTTTATCTAAATTGAAACAACAAGAACAAAAAGTTATGTTAAATATTAAGTTAAATATAATTTCAGAACCAACAGCATATGATAATGGGTCATATGAATTGCTAAAAAGAACATTATTTTGTGTATTTGGTGTAATGAACTCTGTTAATGCGGTTTAAGGTTAAAAAAACACATTATTTTCCACATACTGTACATTATTGTTTCTCCTCTATGCCCCGCCTTTCTGAAACGCGTCGATTTTTACAAAGCTCATCAGTCTGAAAAGCTAGGTGTGCTCTGATTTGCCAGCTATCCAGTGTGTTGTGATTGGCCGAATACCTCAACCGTGTGACGGAAATGTTATGCCCCTACCATACTGGGATGCCCTGTCTGGCCGGAGCGACGAGACAAAAACATTAAAACCCATTATAAACGAGGCAATTGTTGCATCCAGTGGGGACATAATTATGGATTATAATGACTTATACTGTCTTTTTACACATTGCATCGCGCCGCGTAAACATAAAACCATGTCTGCATTTGTGATCGGAGAAATTACAAACAACAAGCGCTACTCTACACTGCTCAAAACTCGCGTTTGAATCGTAAGTAGCAAATTCTTTATATATAAAAAAACTTACAGTCTGAGTCAGAACACCCAGCATTGTAGTCTACTCTCCCCGGATCAGTAGACTTCTCCATAAAATGTGCTGCACACATCTGAATATTTGGGTTGAACTGTTCTGGAACAGTGTTGTAAATACAACTTAACCACTGATTTCTAGTCGTGTCCTCTTTTGGCAGGCCAAACAAAGTAGTTTCGCTTTCACAATGAACAACAATACAACAGCGAGAATAAAAGTTACGCCTTTTTTCTTCGCGTGAACATTTGGGCGGCGTTATGCAAATCTTCCCACATCGTGACGTAGACATGTGGGGGCGTGTTAGAACGAGCCGTTTTAGGTTGGCGTGGTTGACGTTTAACTTTTATAAAGAATATCTCTTTGGATTTGAGACTTTAGTCTATGCAACCTTACAGATCTTCTTTATGCACCAAGAGCTTGTAACACTTCAAAGAGAAAGGAAAAATTGAAATCGCATCATATGACCCCCTTTAAATTGATTCCTTTCTGAAAACTATGAACTCGGAGCCTCCCTCCCGCTCTTTCTCTCCCTCCCATTTCAGTCTGTCTTAGTCTTTCATTCTTTTACTGCTTCACTCTTTTATTGCTTCACTCAATGCAGCTAAACTTCAGTGTTGACATCAGGTTTCTGTCAGAGGGATAAAGACATCGGATCTTAAGACTCATTTGAACTGAACTAAGAGGAACACGCTCAACAATAGCTGGAGGACTTTAAATCTAAAACAGGTAGTATTCTAGTAATTCTGCTGTTGTTTATGAGCGTTGCCCTGAGCTGTATAAGTGCTCTATCTCTCTAGCTTCTCCTTTTCGTACTTAGTTCTCAGGTTACTGTTTTAGGTAAACAGTTCAGTTTCTGCTTAACGCTGATTCGTTTAATGTCAGTCCAACCTGTTCATTTAAAATGGTCTGACTCAGTCAAGAAGATCGAATTCTGCTTCAGTCTGTATAAATATGTATGAACTTGTTCAACAAAAGAATTGGAAGATGATTGTATTTATTTAAAAATAATTGTTTGTAGCTTTCAGAGCGTTTTCATTCCTGACAGTGTTTTTGTTTTTATATTTTAGTCAGGAAGATGAGTTTTAGGATGTAAGTATAGCTGGCAAACGCTGCCGTTCCTCTTTCTCTAATAATTACAAAGATTGCTGTAATTATAAGACAATGGTCATAGGCTACTTACAGTGACTTTATGATCTAAAGAAGCTTTTAAGTGAATAGAGTAATTATTGACATTTATCATGCCATAGGTGACATTTGATGCCCATAAGAATCGAGAAATGACCTAAAATCTTGCTGGCTAATGCTCAATATGAGGTCCAGAATGAAAGAAGTTTTTTGGAGTGGCGTTTTGCCGCTGTTTCTCTGGACATTCGTAAGCGGACAACCGTCCTGTCATGTAGAGGCGATAAGAACAGAGCTACAAACTCCAAAGGAAATACCAACCAAGCTGACCTTCAACAGTGCCTTTATGTCTCCGATTGTACATTCATTCCTGGGCTCTGTCCAGCCCAATCCATTCCCTAAAGGTGAGTTAATGTTATGTAGTTTTGATCTTTGTGTTTGCCAAAGACGTATTCAGTACAAACAGAAAATGTTCTTTTTTGGTATTGACTAATGTCATCAACAATTTGGTTACAAATAGGTACTGTGGCACAGCTGAATCTTGATCTTAGAGCGTAAAGGCTGTATTAGACTCATTAGAGGATGATATTAGGCTGGGCTCGTTATGCACATGGTTAGATGGTGCTTATTCAGGTGGGATAAATGGACTCAGTTAATTGTCAGAAGATAAACCACTGTGCAAATAACCATGCAAATGTTCATGAGATTTGAATCATCTCCTCTCACCTTTCCAAGAGTTTTGTTTACTACAAAAATATGTTTATTGCTGTTCCCTTACAGCCTGTATGTGCAGTCTGCATCACAAGTGGAAAAGCAAACTTTTAAGTTAATTATTACCTTTAAAATCATTGTATGCTGAAAGAAAATTACTTTTCATATTGCATAACCTCAAAGTTCAAAGCTGTTCATAAAATGTTCATCTTGTATCTATAATTACTGGATCAAACATGCACTACTACATTTATACATCTATTCCTGCAGACAATTATGATTTAATCTAACGACAGAATAAAGCATTACTTTACAGAAACCTACTGAATGAAATATTCCTGCATAGAAACGTCATTGAAGGTTGTTCACGTTACAATGACGAATTTCCATTCATCATCACCTATTAATAGAGTTTTATGTGTATAGTCTACCTTTTTATTTTGACTGTAGTCTTTTGTTATAATACCTTCTTGCTGACATCAATGACTATTTAGAAAAAATATAAGTATGAAAAATTGTTAATGTTATACATTAGAGAGTTGCTATACAGATTTGACCTTGGTCACTTCATCACCGTTTACCTCTGACACTTTTATAGCACAAGCAGAATGCTGGGACACTGGTTATAATATTTATTTTGTGTTGTGTAAATGAATATTAAAAATATATGTACAATGTTTTGGCATGTTTTTTCCTGTAGATCTGCTAATTAGAATGATAAAAGATAAGGATTACAACACGGAGAAGGTTAAAGAGGTATGTCACACCTGCATGTAAATGAATGGTTTGATAAGTTTTATGCAATAGATATTTTAATTTCATATGAAGAAGAATGTACTTATGAATTAATATAGCCTCATCCAGATATAAATGGAAGTGTGTGTGTGTGTGTGTGTGTGTGTGTGGGCACGCGCTCTGGGACAAGTTTCTCAGGAATTTTTTTACCAAGTGAATCATGCCAACAGCAATATTTTGTTGTGTAAACAGTCACTATTTGTTTCGATTGGCAGATTTGTTTATACACTGTCAAACATGTTTTGGGTACACAATTGAGCAGAGCACATGGGCACACATAAGTAATGTCATCAAGAGTTTTTTTTTTTATCTATCTCATCTGTACTGCTTAATTTAACTATACCCACAGCAACCAACCTGTCTAACTTCTTTCACTTATGACCAGGTTTTGCAATATGAGATAGGTTTCCTGGTCTGCGTGGCCATTGGGATCCTCTACATTGTCCTGATGCCGCTAATTGGCCTAATCTTTGCCTGCTGTCGTTGCTGTGGTAACTGCGGGGGCCGCATGCACCAGAAGCAAACAACGAATATCCACTGCAAACGAAGAAGCTTTTACTTGTCCACATTTCTCATTACTGTACTTATTCTGTGAGCACCAGTTTGAGTGTAATGTTATTGTAATGATATTTACATAATATATATCATAATATATATTTGCCAAATTAATATAAATTTCTGTGCAGGGCAGGGAACGTTTGCATGTTCCTGAGCAGTACAAATACTTCAGAGACTGTGATGCACAGCCCCACAGAACTCACCGACATCTTGGAGAATGTCAAAGGATATCTTAACATTATTCCTAAGGTAGCCTACACCATTCAGAGAGGAGAAGTGAAATGAAAACCAAATGTTTCAAATTATTATTATAATTTTTTTTTAATGCTCACCAAGTCTGCAGGTTTTTGATAAAATAGACAGTAAAAACAGTATTATTGTGAAATATTATAATGTATAACTATTTCTATTTTAATATATTTTTTTAAATGTAATTTATTCCTGTAAAACAAAGCTGAATTTTTCCAGTCTTCAGTGTTACGTGATCCTTCAGAAATCATTCTAATATGCTGATTTGGTGCTCAAAAAACATATCTTATTTCAGGATTCTTGATAAATAGAAATTTAAAAGAACATCACTTATTTAAAATAGAACTCTTTTGTAACATTATAAATGTTTTTACAGTCACTTTGGATCAATTTAACGTGTCCTTGCTGAATAGAAATCTTATGTTTTCCCATTTTTTCATTTCTAGAATAAACTAGTGCAAGGTTGATTTATATCAACAACTGAATTATAACAATACTGAGTTGAACTGAATATAGCTGATACATATGGAAAAATTTATACAACTTCTTATTCCTCAACAGCAAATCCAACAAGTGACGAATGAGAGCTATGTGACTGTGGATACGGTCAAAAACAACTTAGTTGGTACGTCTCGTGTCTCTTAAAACAAAGGTCAGAAATTAATAGGGGCAAAAAATTGAAAGTGACAAAAATGATACTCAGATTAGAAATGTAAGGGATAAAAATCCCTGTGATGAATTCCTCTATTTTCTTATTTGTAATATAATACAGTTATCTAAAAATTTCTCACATGGCTCTGATTTTATCCATTTGTTTTCTTTTAAACTATGCTGTACTGATCTCTCATTGAATACCTGCATGTTTGTCTCATAGAAACAGGGCCTTTGCTTGGCAAATTGATCCAGAATGGTCTTAAGGGTCACCTCGACCCAGCATTCAACTCCACTACTGAAATAGGCCAAGGTATGTACAGTATGCGTATCAAATAATAAAGCAGTCCCTTTCTTTGGGAAACTAGCTTCATGATCAAACCTTTGCAGCATTAATGAATCCATTGATTTTAAAATATATACAGGTGCATCTCAATAAATTAGAATGTCGTGGAAAGTTAATTTATTTCAGTAATTCAACTCAAATTGTGAAACTCGTGTATTAAATAAATTCAGTGCACACAGACTGAAGTAGTTTAAGTCTTTGGTTCTTTTAATTGTGATGATTTTGGCTCACATTTAACAAAAACCCACCAATTCACTATCTCAACAAATTAGAATATGGTGACATATATATGTATGTGTGTTACAGTGATAAACAGCACCAGCAATGGACTGCTGCATCTAAATAAAACCTTGGAGCTGTTGAAACCGAAGGTGGATGCACTGCAAGCTAATTTATCTGCAGTGAGGCAGCGGATTAACAACACGTTGCATATGTCAGACTGTGTAAACTGCACTTCCCTTCAGTCAGAACTGGATAAACTATCACTGGATGGAAGCCTTGAAGTAAGCTAAACCAGAGCTGTCATGGAGACAAACTAGTGAAAAGCTCATTGGGGAATTCTGATGGCTGTTCAGCGAAGCATGTGGCCTCCTGATGATATCCTGATTCCACTTTAAGCTTTGCACTAGTTTCAGGTTGAGCATTAAGAGAAATAACTGCAAAAATGGTTGGATCATTACACAATCATTCTCCCTTTCTTTGAAGCTCTAGACATTTTGTGGTTGGGGTTGTGTCAGGTCAGTGATTGGAGCAGAGCAAAATTCTGCATCAATCTTCTAGGGAGAACATAGGCATTACTATAATACCCACACAACAATGTTTTGGCTTAGATTACATGATTACTATACAGCATTTCTCTAGACGTGCAGAGGACCAAGCTGTATTACCAGTCATCTGTGCACATAAAGGCTCAAACACTGTCACTGAAGGAACAAACAAGTTATTGTTAACATGTCAATACTTGCAAGCACTTTATCTGGGAAACCTAAGTCTTATCTGGTTGAAAGACATTTCCATAAATACAGGCTGTTGTTGAGAAAAATAACATGTCACTGTCATTGTGTATGTAGATGACCATGATTTCACCAAGTACAACATGTTCCTGGATCAACATCCTTGTTGATACTGGAACAACATTCCTATCAACCAATCAGAATAGAGGGAAAACTTTTCAGGAAATATCTGTTTTAGGCTTACAATCAGGGTTAGGTGCTTCTACACCCTTGTTAATCAGCTATCATTTCACACTTTTTTTAGGAATAAATGATGGGTAGGTTTAGATTTAGGGGTAGGGATTGGGTTAAGTCTATATTTTTGGACAGTTATGTTGATCCAGGATCAACAAAAGATGTTGATCCAGGAACATGTCTTACTTGGCAAAATCACGGCGACCGTGTCTGTGAACGTCAGCATATAGTGCATTTATGTACAGCTAGTACTGTCATCTAGTGTTAAATGTGCTGCTCTGCTTGAAACTCACAATGGGGTCTGAGACCAAATTGAAAATATAGGATTAAAAGATTAAAAAACAAAAGTTTAAAATTTAGTTAAATTGCTAATTATAAAAATTATTTAAAAAATAATATTTATTATAAATATTAATTATTTTATAAAAGATTATAATATTTATAATAATATTTTTTCCTCATTAAAATGTTTAACCCATAAAAGATGACTAGTGTTTTTGAAAAGTATAATTTAAATCATTCACATTTAGGATACAGTCATATAAGTAGTTTAATACTAGGGGCCAAGTTCACATGACTGTATGAAAACTACTCATTTTGTCTCATTCACTTTAATGCACTTCATACTAGAGTGACATACCAATAAATATATATTTTAGGCTTAAAATATAGTTTAGAATGGAAAAAAATAAATCATGACCTTTGCATGTGCTTTGTCTTTTTCACAATTTGGTAGTTTCCTGATAAAAATGACCTGAGGTCTGCTGTAGACAAGGCTATAAATGCTGATGTCATTGGACAGGCAAATAAGGTTAGTGCCATATTTCACAGGTATAACATTTCACTTGAGTGCATTCTCTCTCTCTCTCTCTCTCTCTCTCTCTCTCTCTCTCTCTCTCTCTCTACACTACACCTGATTTGGTGCTCAAGAAACATTTCTTAGTATTATCAATTTTGAAAACAGTTGTGCTGCTTAATATTGTGGGAAACCATGATACCTCTTTGTCAGGATTCTTTGATTAATAGAAAGTTCACATGAACAGCATTGATTCATTCATTTATTGTAATATTATAAATGTCTTTCCTGTCACTTTTGAAAAATTTTAGATCCTTGCTGGGTAAAAAATTTAATTTCCTGAAGCTTTTGATTGTCCTACATATATATTTAATGGTTGGCATGATTTCTACTAGCTATTGTTCAATGTTCATTATACATGTTTGATTCCCAGGGGAGAGACTTTTTTGACAGTATACCAGAAAAGGTGAAAAATGAGACCAGACTAAGTGTGCAGGGTGAGTGTGTGTTGTGTATCTTAACTCACAAATGTTTGTTCACTTAAGGGTTAAGTAGTGTAATGTACTTGAAGTTGCTGATCAGTCTAGTTGTTACGTGATGTTGTGTCTTGTGTCTTTTAAAGTGGCTCTATTGGAGCTTGAAACATTAAAAACCCAGATCTCAGGTGTGACTAAAGACCTTCCTCTTGATGTGCTGAATACTATCTCAGCACCACTAACAGACGTGCAGAAATCGATCAAAGATTTTTCTCCTCCTATAGAGAGATCAAGTCAAATCAGGTACTAATTAACCATGATTCTCTGTGTGTTCAAATACAATATATTCAAATATATTTTATATATATATAAATATATATATATATATATATATATAATTTTTATAATAATCTCAAGGTGATGAGTTTTCTTTTTAATAGCCGGGCTGTTGGATTGATCCTGAGCTGTCTGATTTTGCTGGTGGTGATCTGTAATTTTCTGGGTCTGCTGCTGGGTATAGCTGGACTAAATCCTAAAGACAATCCCAGTGAACGTTCCGGTGCATCCAACTGCGGAGGAATATTTTTCATGGCGTGAGTATAAATTCCCCTTTGGATTTGTGTTTGTGTAACAGAAAACTGTTGTCAGTGTGCATTCATTCCGTTGTTATATATAGTATAATAAAAGTATAACACTGTATGTGCAATATTTACTTCCTCTTGTGCCATTTTAGAGGGGTAGGTTTCAGCTTTCTGGTCTCCTGGATCTTCATGTTAGTGGTGTTGATACTTTTCATAGTGGGAGGTAATAGCTACACCCTGGTTTGTAGACTGTGGCAAAACAAGGAACTCATCCAGGTATTTCCAGCAACACTGACTCATACTAATCATATGACCTTGACTAGTTACTAGTTTCCAGTAAATGTACATTTTTGCATATTATTGCTAGTATATTTGATTATCATGTTATCGTGTTTCATAGCTTATTGACACTCCAGGGCTGATTCCAGATTTCAACCTGTCCAAGGCTCTGAATCTGAATACAAACCTGAAGATTGTTAATGTGTACAGGTACGTCACACAAGACTGCATGATGGATGGCTGTCATATTTACATTATTTGTCCAATATAAATCAATAAATCCGCTTTTTATTATTTATAGTGACTGTCAAAAGAATAAGCCCTTGTGGACCACATTTCATCTGAATGAGATCTTCGACCTAAATAGTAAATTAGATGTTTCAGAGGTGAGATATTATTACTATTCCTTTACTTTCCTATGCTTGATGCATCACTTATTGGACACTAATGGCTGATTCGCTCAACAGTACACCCATGAGATTTATCAGTCCTTTGAGGGGGCACAAATCAACATAGCAAACATCACCATCCTCAGTCCAGAGGTAAAGTCCCAGCTAAACAACTTCTCTAGCAGTGCCAGCAGTATGAACTTCAGCAACATCATACAGCAGGTACACTGTATACTTCATTCGCAAAAGGACACTTGCACATACTGTTTGTGAAATCAAATGACGTATAATTTAATAACGGGCACATATGAGCCTTTTTTTCATAAAGCAATATCAATATGGCAAAAAAAAATAAAAAAAATTTTGTCATATGTATAATGCTTTATAGAAAGAAAAGCTCTTATGTCCCTTTTATTAAGTCACAAAATTATTAGAACACTAGTATTTTCACCAGCTAATTATTTCTTTCTTTTGCTGTAGTGTGTCAGTAAGAAATAACAGTTTATTACATTTCCAAACATTCATTTTGCCATTAATTGTAATAATCCAGTGAGATTTTTGTTTGCACAAGGAGTCTGACAACGGCCAGTGCTCCACACACAGACATGAAGAAACAGAACAAACTGAGACAGACTAAATCCAGAAGAACTGTGGCAATGTCTCCAAGATGCTTCAAGAATCCTACCTGAAAAGCTACCTGAAAAACTATGCGCAAGTGCACCAAGGGCAAAAGCTGCTTTAAATGCAAAGGATGGTCACACCAAATGTTGATTTAATTTAGTTAATAGAAGTTAATTGATAAAGAAAATCTATTTATGACATTATTTTTGACAGCATCCTCATTTTATAGCATTTTTACACAAGTGCCTAAAACTTTTCACAGTACTGTAGCTTTGCAGGAAGGTCTCTTGAAGCATCTTGGAGACGTTGCCACAGTTCTTCTGGATTTAGTCTGTGTCAGTTTGTTCTGTTTCTTCATGTCTGTGTGTGGAGCACTAGCCGTTGTCAGACTCCTTGTGCAGTCTGTCAATTATTACAATTAATGGCAAAATGAATGTTTGGAAATGTAAACTGATATTTCCTACTGACACAGTACAGCAAAAGATAGCAATAACTAGGGCTGCCCCCTAATAGTCGACTAACCTTAAGTTAGAGGCTTGGCCAAAATTTTATTAGTCGCAGAAAAAAAAAATCCACAGGAAATGGTGAGGTCACGCAGTCCGTGACGGACAGATCGTTAACGGCTGGATTTTGTGGTAATACAGTACATCCAAATACTCACCTATCATTCATCGACCTCAAATATGGCTTATCAACTGAAATATGTAAGTAGTAGCAACTTTACATGGCAGCTCAATCTAATGTTAACCTAGAAAAATGTGCGCTATTCAAGTGTCTGTGCGGAGTGTGATAGCTGAACAGTAGCGCGCTCACAGCAGGACAGATGGAGGCGCCGGTGCAGTCACCTGCTCTTAAAATACTCTGTCATTTTGGTCATACAGATACGAGTAATATATCTTTCGAATCTGTAAAGCCTCTACGTTTATTTGTGTGCACTCACTATAACAACAAAACATTGCACTTTTGTAAAATAATGAAAGCAAACAGGATGTGCTTTCTGCCATCTCGGCCTCTGTGAACATGAGCGCGAAACTTTGTGTATACTTGCCTTACAGACATGAAAAATATATCTATAGAGAGTGAAATGTCTACTTTCAAATGAAACAATTAAAATCTGAAAAAACAAATATTCTCAGATTATGTAATAAGGTGCATACACTACTGTGGAGATGACGAGTCACTGTCGCTGAATTCATCTCTTAAGCCGAAAACACAGAAAACACTAGTTTATCAATAGATTATTAAAATGCTAATGCAGTTTATTCTTTCTGTTTTTCCCTGACACATTCATCATCATTACTTCTGCCGGTGTGCTGTGGCAAGCTTTATGCGTGCGCTTGAGTGCTTATTAGGCTATGTAGGCAATTAAAGACTCATTAGCATGATTTAAATGGTTTATTAATAAACGTGCGATTAGTCAACTAATGCTTAAAATGAATGACTACTAGTTGACCAGAAAAATCTTTAGTCGAGGGCAGCCCTAGAAATAACTGACCATTTTTTAGCTTGTGAAAATACTAGTGTTCTAATCATTTTGGCCACCACTGTGTGTGTGTGTGTATATATATATATATATAGATATATATATATATATATATATATATAT